CTCACTCCTATATCTCACTTTAAAACCGTTACACATTAGATTTTGGATTCGGGTGCAGCAACACATATGGCTAGTAAATTAGAATTGTTTGATCACTATAGAGAATATGATGGACCTATTAAGTCAATTAAAATACCAAATAGAGATAAACCCCCTGTGTCATATATAGACATTGTAACTACTAGCAATAACATTGTCATGCATGATGTTTTATATGCTCCGTGATTAGAATTTAATCTCATGTCCACATCTAGATTCAATAGAGGACAACAATGCATGGTTTCCTTCTTCCTTGATTTTTGTTTACTGCAAGGCCTTCAGGATAGGAAGATGAAGCTGATTGGTAGAGAACTTTAATTACCATGTTGTTGATTATACTGTTGGTAATACCCTTACCTAGGCTGTGAAGTTGATGACGTTTTTTGAAAAGCAAGAAAACTAACGACGTTTTATTTTTCCAATAAAACGAATCGTTAGATGTGCCTCTTGACTAGAGAATCAAAACAATTTTAGAGGTGTTCAGACAACAAAAATATCTTAAAAAATATTTTTTTTCGTAAGTCGAGATAAAAGCTTTTCTTACTTATCTTGTTCGCTGTAAACTCATTTTCATAAAAACCCTTAATTGCAGGTTTTAAGAGAGTGATAGATTCAATAATGGAGATGGAAATGAGTGGGCAGAGCTCACGGTGGTCTACTCAGTCTGATCATAGGGCAGGGATAGACCTCCATGCATTGGATCGCAACGCGGACCAATCGTTAGTACTTATTTCTCGTCCTCTTAATGCAAGTTAAGAGCAGGCCGGGATAAATTAAAAAAGACAAACAAATTATTTAACTCTAATACAATTGACTTGATATATCAATTTATTATACAAGTTAATTAGGGAAACTTCATAAACATGGAAAATAAAATAGATTAAGAGATCATACATTTAGGATTACAACTAATTGTTTAATTAATTCTTACACCTAGGAGCATAGGTATTTAAATACATAGTACACAATGTATATACGTCTAACCATATATTTTTGTGTGTCAGATATATTATGAAAGATGTATATTATTTGTGGTCAAACTGATAGCTTTTTGCAAAATATAATTAATATTAAAATAATCTAATTATATTCTTTTCCAAGCACTTGATGAACGCAATAATAAAACATTGGGTTTGTACACGAAAATAGCATTTCTCGACTGACTGAATGATTATTTAATTATGTATATAGGGAGAAATGTATTTACAGTATTAAAACAAAAATTAACACTATTTATTTGAGAAAATTAATCATTTAATTCATATAATTTTCATTTAATTAAAACTCAGTTACTGAGTTCTGTATCAATATAATTTAGTCCTAATAGATTTTTAATTGTTTAATATATCAGTTCTTGCATTTCAAAAAAAAATAGGGAAAATGACATAAAAAGAAGTTGGAAATTGCAATATTCTAATTCAAGTACCTAGGAGTTCAAACTCCTAGAGGAGAAAGTGGTGCCTAATATGGTATTTTGTAAATATAATCAAATAACTAAAATACCCCTGTATGAGATTTTTTTTTTTGAAAAAAAAGCTATCAAATTTGTCATTACTAATACATTTCTTGTCATTAACTGTTTAACACCTATCATTGTTAGTTTACAATTTATTAACTTATCATTGTGAATATATTTTTTGTCATTTGTTCTTCAATACTTCTTATTATCAGTTCATAATTTGTTAATAAACTTTTTGATATATACAAGGGTATTTTTATCATTTAACTACATTTGCAAAATAACCTAATCAAGCATCATTTCCTCCCCTGGATTTTGAAGTCTTAGGTGTTTGAATTAGAGTATTATAATTTTTAACTTTTTTATGTCATTTTCCCAAAATATTATAAGGATTTGTGTTATTTATTGAGCGTTAAATACGAAAAGCCTTACGGTTTAGTGCTATGGGGACCCTTTTACAAGTAGAAGGTCACACATTCGATGTTGCTTGTAGCCTAGTATTTATCCCTTTAATTAAAAAAAGATGAATGTTTTAAACACTTACAATTAATGGATTAAATTATACTGAATCAAAGTTCAGGGACTGATGTTAATCAAGTTGAAACTATACACAGAATCAAAATAATTTATGAACTTATTTTGAACTAAGTCAAAACTCTGATGAACAAATTAATTAAGTGATTAATTTTCCTATATATTTTATTAAGTACAAAACTTAAAAAAAATTTAATCATTTAAAAATTATAGATTAAAAATTCTAAGTCTAAACCATTTAGCATCAACTTTACATAATTAGATCAATATGAGCTCATTTAGCATCTAAATATGAAACGCCCGTTTCTTTCATCTTATTTCAAAAATGTCAATACGTATAGTAAATGAGCCCCTGAAGTGGTCACCACCTTCATTTTTTTGGTTTACAAATTACAACTACTAACTATTTAATATCTACTATCTGATACTACAAAATAAGCATTAGGCTTCAAATAAATAAATGATAGCTGTAAGTGGTGGATTCTAGATTTCCCCCTCTTCGGGTCAGATGAAACTCCTAAGTTAACTTTTCGCATCACTTGAGGGAAATGTATATTTAATACTGCCTCTGGTCCTTTCATGTAAGTGGTGGATGAGATTAGGCTTAATATTCACAGAGATTGACAAATTAACATTACTCATATGTACAGAGACGATCTAACTAATTCTGATAAGCTAGTTAAATTGGCTCACAGAATAGACGGGAATTTTGTGCTTCTTGATCAGCCTGCAACTTTTGCTACGGAGGCGGACATTGATGAAGGATAAGGCTGTCTTTTGGTTTGCTTTACTTTTATTGTTGATTTAATGAAGCTTTAGTATTTCTTTTTTAAAAAAAGTAGATTAAGAAATTTTGTTAAATTAGTTATTTATAATAAACATGTGTTATCTTTCTTAGAATACACTTACTAATAATGTGTATTAGCTAGGATTATCATTTGATAAAATTTTTAACATGTGCAACTACTACAAGGATTATTTTAAAAAAAAAGACAATTATAAAAAATAAAGTGAATTGGGGTCTTATATTTAAAACCAAATTAAAAGTCAAACCAGTTTTTATATTAAGAATGAGAGCTAGCAGTATCTTCCAACGGACACTATTTCAAATCCCCAGTGTCTCACCTAAACATTTCTTTGACAAATTTGAATCTCCACAATCAAGTTTATCAATAGATAATGTGATTCATTTCTCAAATTCTGTCTGATATGTGGATACATTTGGAAAATTAGCTGAGTTTTAATCAGATTTTAATTAACAAATGTTTTGCATTAAATATAAAGGCAGTTTTGAATTCAAGAATTGCGTTTCATATAAAAACAGAAACTCTCAATTTTTTCATAGTCAAATCAAAAGAAACTCAGATTAACTGTTCACACAATAAATGATGGTACAAACGCATATTTAATTACTAGAGTGTAAAATCAATTTATTTATTTTTCAAATTGGTTACTAAAAGTCTCATATAAATATACTCGTATACAACATCACCAACGGTCTTCTTTTTACTTTTTGGGCCAAACATACCCTCATCCATCGTCTTCACGTAACATGAAAACGATGAAGTGAGGAGCTACTTTCACTATATTTTTAGTTATTATCTCTCTCTCTCTCTCTGGCCATTGCATTCAAGTTCATGGTATGCTTCTCAATTCTTGTTCTTTATTGTAATTTGTAACACATAATTATATATATGAATATAATCAGATGGTTATTTAATTGATAAGGACTTTTACTTAATTAAACGCAAAATTATTAATTCACATTGAAATGTATAATGATTTATTTGTATATTCTTTTTTTCCAAACATAAAAGAGGTTGATTTCTTCTCTGCCGGAACATTCCTTAATAATATTTGTTTTTTTATTAGGCAGATTTCAGATTTATATTATGAAACCAAAAAGAAAAAAATGGATGAATAATTTATATATATCAACTGAAAAAATCAAGATATGAAAAACAAGACAAAGATTCTTCCATTAATAACAATGAGAGTTACTTTTTCTTTTGGGAGAATTTAAAAAAAATGCCTTTAAATTTTAAAACTTTACGTCAATCTTGTTTCCTATACTTTTAAAAAGCAAATGACAACACATTTTTAAAGTCATTCCTAAATTGGAATTTTAAGATTTTAAAGATATTTTCTTGGGATTTTTTTTCTTTTCTTTTGTTTCTTTTTCCTTTGACTTCCTTTGATCTTGATCTTTATATCTTCGCTATTGATGGTTCTTATTATTGGACCCTTTACAAATTTTTCAAAACATTAATAATGATTGTTTTGGTACTGCAAAATCCGGCCCCAAAATCATTAACAATTTTGCTAATGAACTTCATTGAGGTGACATTTTAAAAATTTTAAAACTTTTGACAAATTAAAAACAATAACTAATTTTAACTAATTTTCTTAATCTATATTTATGTGCATAGTAACATGTCCTCATAACAAGAACCAAAAGGCAGTGAAATCTGAGAAGAGAGCACACGGAAACTTGGATTTGGTAAAATGACCAATCGAATATTATTGATTCAACTATGAATATTTATAGTACAAAACATGAACCCATAATGGGCTAACTAGTATGGAACACCGGATGGACCACCGACCCAATACAACTCATACAATCAGTATCCTTAACACCCCCCTTCAAGTTGGGGACTATACAGATTAATAGTTCCTAACTTGCGTATCATGGCCTCATGATCTTCCCTCCCAAGAGCTTTAGTTAAGACATCTGCTAACTGATTCCGACTATTTACATGTTGTAAGTCAATGACTCCTTCTTGTAGTTTTTCTCGCACGAAGTGACAATCTATTTCAATATGCTTAGTGCGCTCATGGAAAACAGGATTACTAGCAATATATATAGCAGCCTTGCTATTACAATAAACCTTCACCGGCTCAAGCCCTCTCACATCCAAATCTCTAAGCATGCGTGTCAACCATGTAACTTCAGAGACGGCAGATCCTAAAGCTCTGTACTTGCTTCAGCGGAAGACTTAGATACTGTTTGCTGCTTCTTAGATTTCCAACAGATTGGAGAACCACCAAATTTGAGTACAAAACCAGTCACTGATCTCCTTGTGTCATGGCAAGCTGCCCAATCAGAATCTACATAGCATTCTAAGTTTGTTCTGTTGGTTGCAGCAAGGAAGATGCCCATTCCAGGACTGCCCTTTAAGTATCTCACCACACATGTGGCTGCCTCCATGTGAGATTTCCGTGGAGCACTCATGAATTGGCTGAGAGTCTGCACCACAAAACATATGTCAGGCCGAGTCATGGTAAGGTAAGACAACCTACCTACTAGGCGTCTGTACACAGAGGGGTTTTGAAGAAATGGATCCATATCTGTTTCGGTACTATGTCTCTTCTTATTTGCCTTGTTGGATGCCATTTGGATTCCTTCCCGTGACAGTCTAACACTTCTTTCCATAGGAACTTTCAATGGCTTGGCACCATTAAACCTACATCTGAAATAAGATCAAGAGCATATTTTCTTTGACTAAGAACAATACCTCTCCTGGACCTTGTCAATTCCAATCCCAAAAAGTATTTAAGCTCCCCCAAATCCTTAATTTTAAATTTCTGGTGTAGATGAGTTTTAGTTTCATTAATTCTGTCAATGTTATTTCCAGCAACCACAAGATCATCTACATAAGCTAGAACCACAGTAATGTCATGTTTATTTTGTTTAACAAAAAGGGAATAATCATATCTACTTTGTCGAAACCCCCCTTGTATTAAAGCCTCAGTAAGTTTGGCATTCCACTGTCTGGATGCTTGCTTGAGGCCATATAGAGACTTGTTTAGTTTGCAAACTTTGGTGCCGGCAAACTGATCAAACCCCTGAGGAATTTTCATATAACCTCCTCTTGTAGGCGCCCCTGCAGAAATGCATTGTTGACATCCATTTGGAAAAGATGCCAACAATGCATGGCTGCAAGAGTTAAAATACACCTAACTGTAACCATTTTGACAACCGGAGAGAAGGTCTCAAAATAATCAATACCTTCTTGTTGACTGTACCCTTTAGCTACTAAACGGGCTTTGTAACGTTCAACACTACCATCAGAGTTATATTTTACCTTAAACACCCATTTACAACCTATAGCCCTTTTACCTTTTGGATTATCAACAATATCCCAAGTGTGATTCTGCTCAAGAGCTTGCATTTCCTCTCTCATGGCAGTCATCCATTTGGGATCCTTTGCTGCATGCTCAAAGCTATAAGGCTCAACAACAATGTCAGTGGAAAGTAAATAATTCTTATAATCAGCAGAAACATGAGCATAAGTAATATATTCATGCAAGGGATACCGGCACTTGACTTTTCCTTGGTTACTATCAACTGTGTCACCAAGACAGATATAATCATTGAGCCAAGTAGGGGATTTACTGTTCCGAATAGGTCTATCAATTCCTTCTACATGCCGTTCAGTATCAATATTAACCTCATCACCATGGTGATCAAGAATATCAGGAGGGTCAGCAGATTCATTGTTAATAATGGATTGTCTAGGATTAGACTTGGTGGAAACATGATCATCATAGGCAAAATAATCCAAGGCAGACTTACCAGTCCCTGATGCTTGATTATCAAATGAAATATCTTTAAAAGGAAACTTGGTTTCCACAAAATTGACATGTCTACTAACAAACATAGTCTTGGTCTTAAGATTATACAGTAAATAGCCCTTTTGATTAGGTGGATACCCCATAAAAATGCTGACTTCAGCCCTGGGCTGAAATTTATCATTATGACAATGAGAGACAGCAAATGCAAGACATCCAAAAACTTTCAAATGTGTCAAGTCAGGCTGTTTTTGATATAAAAGCTCAAAAGGAGTTTTATAATTCAGGATTTTAGAAGGAGTTCTATTGATCAAATAAGAGGCAGTCTTAATGCTTTCCCCCCAAAACTTAATCGGAACACCAGAATGAAAGATAAGGCTTCTAGCTACATTAAGCAAGTGTCGATGTTTGCGCTCAACCACCCCATTTTGTTGTGGAGTGTAGGGACATGTTGTTTCATGAATAATGCCCCTCTCAAGAAGAATACATTTTAGTTTAGTGTTAGTGAATTCTAACCCATTGTCAGTTCTTATTCTTTTGACTATAGTAGAGAATTGAGTACTAACATATTGCAAAAAATTAAGTAACAACTGAAAACTATCACTTTTATTGATCATCAAGAAAGTCCAAGTACATTTAGAGAAATCATCAACAATGGTAAGAAAATATCTATACCCCTGATAGGTAGGTTCCCTATAGGGACCCCATATGTCAACATGTACCAATTCAAAACAACATGAAGAAACAGAAACTGAATGGGGAAAAGGAAGTCTAGCTTGTTTAGCTAGAGGGCAAACATCACAATTGACATTAGAAGGACCTACAATTTCATTCTTTATCTTGTCTATATGCCTAATGACTTCTAACGGAGCATGTCCTAGTCTATAGTGCCACAGTTGAGAGGTTTCTTTCCTTGTGTCGTTTGATGGAAGATTCATAAGAGCATTGTCCAAGGTTAAAATTTTTTCCAATCAAGTATAACCCACTATGGATTCTACCAATCACCTGAGACCTCCCAGTTAAAATCTCCTGCAATACACAGAACTCAGGGTAAAAAGAGACAATGCATTGCAGTTCTTTAGTTATTCTAGACACAGAGACAAGATTATAACAGCATTCAGGAGTATAATAAACATCACATAGTATAATGCTGTCAAAAAGTGTTACTGTGCCAGTGTGTGTGACCGTAATTTTATCACCATTAGGCAATCTGATTTTCCTAAGGGGTCTTGAGTAAACCGTAGCACTATCAAGCATAGTAAGACTACTAACTACATGACAAGATGCTCCAGAGTCTAGTATCCAATGGGTTTTACAGAGATCAGAGGGGAGTGCATTAATATTACCTGAAATGTGTTCCTCAATGTAATCTGCCGTCCCAATCATATCTTCATTACCATCACTCTTGAGAAGCTGTAGGATCTTATTGTACTGCTGTTGGGTGATAGAGGTTTGATTTCCAAGTTGTTTGAAGGTGCAGAGGACTGAGGTGTCTGTTCTCCTACTACTCGATTCAAGTGGCCTGTCTGAACCTTTCTTCCTCTGAAGTTGGGAGGATATCCAACTAACTCAAAGCATTGCTCTTTCTTGTGGCCTCTGCGATGACAATGACTGCATTCATCTTGGGATCTTCCCCTGCCACGGCCTCTTCCAGATCTCCCTCCTCTAGTTGTGGTGATTGCTGCATCAAATGGGCTATAAGGTTGCTGTGAACATATAAGCCTTTGATCCTCATCTTGGGAGATCATGGCATAGGCTTGGTTGAGAGTCGGTAACGGAGACATTAAAAGAATTTGTGATCGCGCTTGTTGAAAAATGTCATTCAAGCCCATAAGAAACTGAAAGAGCCGCTGCTGCTGTACTATTCTAATGTATTCTTGAGCAGTTTCACACTGACAGGTGGGCAAGGGAACTAACAGTGCATATTCATCCCAGAGTTCCTTGAGCTTGGTAAAATACGCAGACACAGTAACGGTCCCTTGAGTAATGGAAGAAATACCTTTGAGCAATGAATAGATTTTTGCGCCATCCACTTTGTGAAATCTCTCTTTGAGATCAACCCAAACAATGGGCGCATTCTCAGCAAACACTATACCATTAGCTATCTCCTTATCCACTGAATTGATCAGCCAAGAAAGGACCACAACATTACAGCGATCCCACTGTTCTTTGAGATGTGGTTCATTGGTGCGGGTGTATGTGCCTTCGATGAAACCCAATTTATTCTTCCCTTGTAATGCCAGACGGATAGCACGGCTCCAAACCAAGTAATTGTTGGACCAGTGAGCACTTGAGAAACTAAGGTTGTAGCTTGTGTGTCCGAAGGGTGCAAGTAAAGAGGGTGATTTGCATCAATTGTGGGGATGTTGGAGGCTTCAACTTTGGAAACTGCCTTATCAGCCATCGCGATAATTTCTTGAAGGAATCTTGAAGGAATGTGAACAGATTAACTAGTGAGAAGACCAGTTCAACCACTAGCGATGGGGGAGAAGAACGACGAAGTGTCGCGGATTACTCAACTGCGTGTTGGGAGATGGACAACAAGGCGGTGAACAGAAAATGCTGAACGATGGGAAACTTTGACAGCAGCGGGTAGCCTATTCTTGAATTCTTTCGGTACGGACGTAGGAAATGATGACTATTAGCGCCTTCGTGGTGAATATTCTCGCCTTCGTGAAATCTTGACGGTGGGCAAACTCCTAGGGTGCAAGGATAAACTCTAATTGAAAGGGGAGCAAGCTGGATTGTGATTCTTGGGTTGCACGAGTTCCAGAACTTGCCTTGACAAAACGATGACAGCAGCAACCATTTACACCATTACGGTTCTGCAGGCAAGGAGGCAATAGGGCCTTTAACTTTTGCCTTGGACTGGGCTCAACAATCGGACCTGGCTCTTGGTACCATGAGAAGAGACCACGCGGAAACTTGGATTTGGTAAAATGACCAATCGAATATTATTGATTCAACTATGAATATTTATAGTACAACTCATACAAACAGTATCCTTAACAAAATCTCCTTACACCATTACATTGTTTTCTCTCTGTTTTTTTTTTAATAACATCTTATGATTCATATGAGATTTCTCGTTTATATCGTCTCTTGGCATTAATTACTACAAACAAACACACACATGTCTCTTAATGGGTAATAGGTGATTGTAGGACTTGCCGCAAGAACCTGATGTTACCAGGGAACTGTGGTGGCTATGGAGTTTGTGATGCATGGTTGAGTTTAAGAAGTTTGGAGAAAAATCAAATCCTTCAAACTGCAATTGAGTGACCTTGTTCTACAAGGCCAATGCGAATGTGATATTATTTGTCCATGAAATGAAACTATATATATTTATTAGGGGGAATTTCACTGTAGGATCGCAGAAGACAAATAATCTCAAAGAGCCCCCAAAACTTTCTGAAACCTCACTGCAGGACCAAGGGACCAATCTGATATTAATTTTTAGAGTGAGATTACAATAATACCCCTCCCTTTTTATTTTATTAAAAAAAAACATTTACCGGAGTTACTGTTCCGGCCACCAGAGGTCGGAGGTCCGGCCATCGGCGCTCAGGTGGCCGCCGCCGGGGTCCGGTCACTGGTGGCCGGAACAGTAACTCCGGCGGGACCTCCGGTGGCCGGAGTTTTTTTTGTTTAAAACAAAGTGGCCAAGGGAGGGTTTAAACCTAGGACCCCTTGGCACACCAAAAGACTTGTAACCACCAAGCCAAGCAACCCATTCAATCATAATATGCAAATAAAACTATATATAACAAAATAAACGCAACAGTCCAAATGTATGTGAACAAGTGAAATTAGACGATTTAC